TATATATTGTATGTTTCCAAAGAATTACATTGTATGATTCCATTAATATAAAATGTATAAAATACATAAATCTATATACTGGTCGTTGCTTAGGGTACGGGGTAGAGAAGTTCTGGGGGGTTACAGCTAAAAGGAATCTTTTTGGGTAATGAAAGCATTCTAAAACTGATTGTGGGATGGTTGCACAACTCTGTGAATATAATAAAAATCACTGAATTATACACTTGCAATGAGTGAACTTGTACAGTGGTATGGATTGAATTGGTGGTTGGTGGTTATGTGCCATGGAGTCAGTTCCAGACTCATAGCAACCCTGTATAGGATTTCCAAGGCTATAAATCTTTAAAGGAGCAGAAAGCCTCATCTTTTTCCTGCAGAACAGATAGTAGTTTCGAACTACTGACCTTGAGGTTCACAGCCCGATTCGTAACCACTACACTATACCAGAGCTGCTTATGGATTGAATTAAGTACCCTCAAAATATGTGTTGAAATCCTAACCCTGTATCTGTAAATGTGAACTTGTTTAGAAATAGAAATTTTTTCTCTTTTATACCAGATATGTTGTTGTTAAGTGTCATCAAGTCGGTTCCAACCCATAGTGACCCTGTATAGGGTTTCCAAGGAGCAGCTAGTGAGTTTGAACTGCCGACCTTGTGGTTCAAACCGACTTTGCAGTCCAATGCATTATGTTGTTGTTGTGTGCCGTGGAGTCAATTCCGACTCATAGCGACCCTGTACAGGGTTTCCGAGGCTGTAAATCTTTACGGGAGCAGAAAGACTCATCTTTCTCCCACAGAACAGCTGGTAGTTTCGAACTGCTGACTTTGCGGTTTGCAGCCCAATTCATAACCACTACACTACGAATCCTTCCCCAATGCATTATAGTAGGTCCTAAACTTAATCACTTCTGAGTTCTAAAAAGAACAAGATAAACAGAATACGCACTGTGGGCAGACAGATACCATGGAACTACCACAGCTACCAACAAAAAAAATTACCCCTTAGAGTCACAACTCAATTCAGGCTCCTAGTCTCCTGAGTTGTGAGAAAATAAATTGGTTCTTTAAAGTCATCCACTTGCAATATTTCTGTTACAGTTGTTATTGTTGTTATTAATTGTTGTCACGGTGGTTCTGAAAATCAGAGCAACCCTGTATTGGGTTTCCAAGGCATGACTGATGGGTTTGGACCATCAATCTTGTGGTTAGGAGTTCAGTGTTTATCCTACAGAACCATACCAAGACTCCTCTGTTATAGTAGTGACAGGCAATGAAGGCATATGATATATGAATTATGTATCAATAAAATTGGTACAAAATTTTAAAAGAACATATAGCACACTACAAGGATGAGGTACTATGATTTTGTAATCCATTTGGCTAACTCAACGCCTAACTTCTAGCAGTCAGTCTATTAATTAATATGTAGAGAATGAATATCATTGTGATGAGACAGCCTTTTGAACAATTAATTTTATTTGACTAATTCCAAGTTGTAATTCAAATGGCTTATCATCAACCAATTCATATTTTACTGTTTCATTCTACCTAAAATAGTCTACCCCAGTCCCTTTTTTAAAAAACAATGTGCTAATGTATATCAACATTTTTCTATTTATAAAAATAAATGCTTAATGCAAAAAACATAGCAAATGCAAATAAATATGTGGAAGAAAGCAAAAATCAGCATCAGTCTACAATAATAAGAGTTAACAGTGAATAAGAGATAGATATGTCTTTCATTGCATATTAACAAACTTTAAAATGGGAGCTTTTCAGTGTGGAAAATACCATACAGCATTTTCCTGTCACTTATACTTGACTATTTGAGATAAATATATTCCATGTAAGTAAGTACAATATTTTATAAGATGATTTTTCATAGCGATGTAAAATTCTATAGTTAGGAAGTATTAGAATTTATTCAAATCAACCACCCTTAATCACTGGACATCAGTTTATCTTTACAACTTTTCTATTACAAATTATATTTCAATGGAATTTTGAACAAATATTTTTTAACACATTTTTTATTACTTCCCTAAGCTACATGTTGTTGTTATGTGTTGTATGTTGTTGTTGTTGTTATGTGCCGTCGAGTCGGTTCCGACCCATAGCGACCCTGTACAGGGTTTCCGAGGGTGTAAATCTTTACGGGAGTAGAAAGCCTCATCTTTCTCCCGCGGAACAGCTGATAGTTTCGAACCGCTGACCTTAAGGTTCGCAGCCCGATTCGTAACCACTACGCTACCAGAGCTCCTTGTGTTGTATAATTGGTTCCAAATCATGCAACCCTGTATATCGTTTTCAAGGAGAGGCTGGTTAGAACCGCCTGCTTATCCTACAATGCCACCCCAGGCTCCTAAGATATATGTTGCTGTTGTTGTTGTTGTTGTTGGTGGTGGTGGTGGTGTTAAGTGCCGTTGAGTCGGTTCCGACCCACAGCAACCCCTGAACAGGGTTTCCAAAACTATAAATCTTTACAGGAACAGAAAGTCTCATCTTTCTCCCGCGGAGCAGCTGGTAGTTTTGAACTGCTGACCTAGCAGTTCGCAGCCTGATTCGTAACCACTACGCTATATAGGAGGGGGCTTCAAAAAATTGGTAAAAACAATCCCATTATCTTTTAATGTCATTTTCCATGAAATTTTTTAATCCCCCTCATATGAAAAAAAATGTATTTAAACTTGAATGCAAAGACATTTTTAAGTCTTTGCTTTGCCTGTATATACTAACCATACTAAATAATATCATTTTTTAATCTTAGACAATCTGATAGAGAAAAAAAAGTTATCTCATAGTGAATTATAATTATTTGATGTAAGATGACATCTGAGGGTAAGTCAAAAAGTACTGATATTAAAGGGTTCCAATTCATACACACAGGGGTTTATTCCAAAAAAAAAAAAAGTATACAAACATGTCTCTGTGATTTCAAAAATTATCTCAGCAATACACTTATCTTAATCTCATTAAAATGCCTTCAAGAAAAAGATACTTTTTGTGCTACCAAAAAATACACGATTTCGAGGTCAAAGCTAATAACAAGTTTTTAACAAAATTCAAAAAGGATATCATCCCAAGTTGCTGAAGATTTGCAACAAGTTTACACATAAAACATCACATTTCAGATGGATCAAGCATTTTAAAGGTTAGGAAGACCTCAAAGATAAATTCAAGGTAGAGCAGTCAGTTAAAAAAGGTATGACAACTATTTTTGGGGATTCCAAAGGACCCATCTTGGTAAGATTTCCTCATTGTACACAGGATGATCATGGGGACTTATAATGAAGGAGTTTTAAGAAAACTGAAAAATGTATTGGCCAGGAAAGTTGCACTGAGGAATTTTCCCATCATGACAATGTACCTGGCTCATTCTTCAAAGTTACTCTACAACTGTGTCCTTGCCCCCTGAAAGATCTCTTTTGTTACTAAAACTCAAATGATATTTAAAAGGAATACTATTTGAAACACACAAGGATTCCAAAACTGCCATTTTGACATGGTATGTATTGAGGTGTGCAGTATTCTCTGGGAAAGAGTTAGAGAGATGGAAGCATGCCTTCAAATGTATATGTTGTTGTTGTTATGTGCCGTGGAGTCGGTTCTGACTCATAGCGACCCTGCACAGGGTTTCCGAGGCTGTAAATCTTTATGGGAGCAGAACACCTCATCTTTCTCCCGCGGAACAGCTGGTAGTTTCGAACTGCTGACCTTGTGGTTCGCAGTCCGATTCGTAACCACTACGCTACCAGAGCTCCTTTCAGACTTTGCTAATTGATGTTACATGAAGTGGATTGCAATCACTGTAATGACATGAAGTATTATAATTGATTGAATGTAGGATTGATGATTTGTTAGGTAAAATTTCACTTAATTCACAATAAAACATTTAAAAACCAAAGTATATAGACAAAAAAAAATGTATAGATCTAGATTAAGGATATGTTAAGAAACAATAGCTTCACATTTTGATATTTTTGTTTAATAAAGGTTTTGTGCCTTTGTAGCAATACTTTCTGACTTATCCTGTATGTTCAAGTACTCACTGACTATTTCGTATTTTCCTTTTGTGAACTGTTTATTTGCATTTATTGCACTTCATTCCCATGGTGGTTGCCTATATTGTTCAATTCTCAAATAGGTGTAGAAACATTTAACAGATTAATACTTATTTCATTTACTAATGACAAAGATATTGTTGTTGTTATGTGCTGTGGACTCGGTTCCGACTCATAGCAACCCTGTACAGGGTTTCCTAGGCTGTAAATCTTTACGGGAGCAGAAAGCCTCATCTTTCTCCCCTAGAACAGCTGGTACTTTCAAACTGCTGGCCTTGCGGTTCACAGGCCGATTCGTAACCACTACGCTACCAGAGGTCCTTCACAAAGATGTTGTTGTTGTTGTGTTGTGATGTGCCGTGGAGTCGGTTCCGACTCATAGCGACCCTACACAGGGTTTCCGAGGCTATAAATCTTTATGGGAGCAGACTGCCTCATATTTCTCCCGCGGAACCGCTGGTAGTTTCGAACTGCTGACCTTGCGGCTCGCAGCCAGATTCGTAACCACTTATTAGGATATTCAATCCTATTGAGTTGAGAAGGCAATAGATGTGTGTCAACAGTCAGCATGCTAAAAGCACATATACACAAAGGCCCAAACATACACAAACTACAGCTCTAAAACTGGAAAAAGGAAAAAAAAAAAAAGACTAAATAATCATCATTGCCACTTACTCAATAAATTCATCTAGCTGGAACATGACTTTTTTTTACTAGTTAATTTTTATTTCTAATTTCCACAAAACAAGATTACCAAAGATTAAAGAAAACAAAATTAGGCCACTTTTGATCAATTTTTTTAAACTAAAAGATAAATAAAAGGTGATGAAAAAAACAAATAAATATGGTTTAGGAGAAATTTAAAAACAGACTTTAAACTCTCTTTGCTAATGACGTAGTGCCATGAAATCCCCAAATTTATCATTATAAATATATACCTTGTGAATTCTTCGTATCAGTACAGACGCAAAAAATCGTAATGTAATTCTCAGCTCATCAACAAAGGATTCATCATCTGTTACATCCCTTCAATTGAGAATAAAAGCAAACATTTAGAAGTTCAGGGAAATACAAAGCTTCACCTGGAAACTAAGAAAAGTCTAGAACATCTTTTTGCCATTTATTTATGCTGTTTTTCTTTTTTATACAAACAATGAATTTCACTAAAGAATAAAGTCAGAAATGCAAAAAAGAAGTTGTACGTTTATAATTTCAGTATCAAAATTTTATCACTATTAACTAAAGTTTAATATGTGTAGTCCCTTTCAAACATACACATGTACATAAATCATATTTTTTCAATACTAAATAGTCATTTTCAAAGCACCATCAAAGAAAACTCAAAGACACAAAACAAAGAATAATTTTGGAAAGGCAATAGAATTAAATTATAATAAAATTTTAATCAGTTTTAAATATTTAAAAAAATTAATAATATAAACTAATTCTTAAAGTTGAAAAAACAACAACATCACATAATGTGTTCTATTTTCTTTAAAAAGAACTGAAAAGGAAACAATTTCTTCACAGAAATGTTAGCAACCCTCTTCTGAGGGGCTCCAGTTCATTTTCCCGACATCTTTATGTTCCTAGAAGTAGGACACTTCTGTCTCTAATTAAGGCAAGAAAAAAGGTATATAAAATGGTATGCTGAACTTGAAGATGGTGCTAACTCAATTGTAAAGAAATATAGTCAAATTTATTGACTGAAAACTCATAATATGACAAAGGGGAGGAATTTACATTTTATAAAAGGCTTCATCATCAACTTTCCTTAAATGGCAAATATCCCCTATTAAAGGCAGAATCCAATGTAAAAAATTAATCAGTACAGCTTTTCAAGAAAATATGGTATGTATACTGTAGAGACTACAATGGTAAGACTCTGTCTCTTGGACTTTGGACATGTTGTCATGAGGGATCAGTCCCTGGAGGAGACAGCATGTTGAGTAAAGTTGAAGGTCAATGCAAAAGAGGCAGACCCCCAACAAGATGAACCGACAAAGTGGCAGCAACAGTAGGCTCAAACATCCTTGTGAAGGTGGCACAAGACCGGACAGTGTTTAGTTAGGTTTTGCACAGAGTCAGAACTGACTTGATGACACCTAACAACAAAACTATAGACTAAATTTGTTTTAACATACTCTAGACGAATTCACTTGGTAGCATTTATTTATTCTTTTGCTGGTAGCGTTTATTTTGTTGTTGTTATAAAATTCAAAATATAACGAATCAAATAAAACTAGGGTAAGTTTCATGAAATACTATGCATTATAAACCATATAGGTGTAAGTGCTCAGCCATGTAACCAAGCATATATAATGCTTACGTCAAGAAACACACAAATGGGTTTCAAAGAGTTTGTGGGAGAATTCTATTAATCTCAGTTCAATTTTCCACAAACCTTTTGAAGCTCCTTTGTACTTATTACATAATACAACCTGGAGATCTCTTTAATTCTCAAGCTAGGTTGTTTCAGAGATAGATTACTCTATCATTCAAAACTCAAGACACCTGCAGTTAGTACATAAAATGTTGTTGTTGTTGTTAAGTGCCGTTGTGTCAGTTCTAGCTCATAGTGACTCTGTAGAGGGTTTTCAAAGAACCACTGGTGACTTCAAATAAGTGGCCTTCAGGTTCAAACCCACCTTGCAGTCTAGTGCTTATCCTACAGTGCCACACCAGGACTCCAGTACATACATTGCTGTTGTTATTTAAGTGCCGTCAAGTTGGTACCGACTCATAGTGACTCTGTATAGGGTTTCCAAGGAGTGTCTACTGGCTTTGAACTTTGCAGTCCAGTCAGTGCTTACTGTACAGCACCACACCAGAACTCCAGTACATACATAGCAAATAGCAAAGGTTACTTTAGGACAAATATGAATTGTACAAACTCTCTTTCAATTTAATGAAACATCTAAATATAGATTTTTCTTTCCAAAGGTACAATGATTTCAATTGTTAATAAGTGGATATTACATGAATTAATCACTACACTTACGAATGGTGAAACATTTTACGTTATTTTTCTTTTGAAAGGCAACTCTGGCTATAGAATTTTCTCCTCTTTGCTATCACTTCACAATTCATTCACCAGTTACATCAGTGATGTGACCCACTATGCCACCAGGGCTCTTCAAGAGGTTCTTTATCATGGGACAGAGGTTTTTGTTCCTTGGGGAACATTGGTGCTACTGGCATCTAGTGAAAGAGGCCACAGATGCTGTTATATATCCCACGATGCACACTACTATCTATAGAGGTCACTATGAGTCAGAACCAACCTGACGGCACTTAACAACAACGCTATCCCCTACAACAATTTCCCCTAAAATGTCAATAATGCCAAAGTTGAAAAATGCAAGCCTACAAAGAAGACTAACATTAGCATGTTTAACTATTGACAGCATTCACTATACTATAGAAATACAAAGGTCTTATAGGAAACACATACCTGTACCAAGGATAAACAAAGTTTTCCAACACTAATTCAAGAACCTGCATAAAAAATATTTAAAAAAAATAAAATTAGTAAGCTAATGAATTATACTGTTTAGTAACATATATTACCAAGAATGTATTCTATTTTCTGAACTGTTCACTTCTAATATATTACTTTTACATGGTAAAACATGTATATCAAGCTTAGTAGTGATTATGAGGACCAAAAAGAAATGTTCATATGACAAACCCATGAAAAATTATAAAACTCCATAAAAATGATAAGTTAATATTAGCCTAACACTTACACACATTTCAGAATATTTCTACAATCAAACAAAAAAGTTAAATAAATTATTTCTACCTTTGAAGCTTCACTAAATTGAAAAATGTTCCATGTAAAAAAAGAAAAGAACAGGCTGATCATTTACATTCTTAAACATTCTCTATTATACAGTATTCCCAGAAAAAAAGGAAAACAGGGAGCTAACACTTAAAAAATAGGCAGCATCAAGTAGATTCTAACTCATTGTGTTACCCCATAAGACAAAGTAGAACTGGCTCAGAAGGTTTCCAAAGCTATAATCTTTACAGAAGCAGATGGACACATCTATCCAGAGAGGATGGTGTGTTCAAACCTCAGACATTTTGGTTAGTAGCCAAGTTTTGAATAACTGTGTCAGAAGCACTCCTAACACATACATAAATGGCCATATGTGTCAGTGACTGATTGCCTTTTAAAGAAGGAGAGAGACAGGAAGAGGAGTGGACTTCTAGGATGCGGATACTTTGTTTCTTAATCTTAGCACAAGTTTATATGAATGTGTTCATTTTGTGAACATTTTAGCTGTGCAATTAAAACTGGTATATGTAAACTATCATCTGAAAAATTAAAATATGGCAAGCCCTAAGTGTGAAATTTTATTATTATTAATTATTATTGTTATTATCAGCACCCTTCAAGTCCCACTCACCTTCTCTTCCTGTCTCTCTCCTCCTTTGAAGGTAATCAATCACTGACACCTGTGGCCACTTACGTACGTATACCAAGTCCTAAGTGTTAACTAGACTCCTGATGGAGTGCTACACAATAATGCACTGGACTTCAAGGTGGGTTCAAACCCATCAGCTGCTCCTCAGAAACCCAATACAGACTCACTATGAGTCGGAATCGACTTGGCAGCACTTAACAACAACAACTGCTAAATATTCTTGGGTCTGTTGTAGCAGTATGTGGTTTTTTTTTGTTTTTTTTTTTTTTGGTTTTTTAGCAGTATGTTTTAAATTTTAAAAAAAAATGTTTTTAAAAGAATTTGTAGCAATTTTCAATAAATTAAAAGTTAGGAATAAAACAATGTGCCTAATTCGTATGTCTCATACTTACTCTTGCAACAAAAATAGAGACTAAGGATACTATAGGTTAAACAAATAGTATGGCAAAGAACAAGATGGCAGATTGGGTGGAAGTGCAGTGAGTAGCTCCATCAGCATCAACAGAGAATACTGGACCAAGCAGGCTCAGGGGATGGTGCCAGAACTCTGAACCACATATAAAGGATTATTTAGAAGGTTGGAAATCTTACAGCTAGGGGAATTTGTAGCAGAAGCAAGAAATCCATTGCTTTCTAATTCAAGACATTCAGCTGCTCCCGGAGCCACCATCTTGGGAAAGACCAAGCAAGGGAAGGATCATAGCAGCCACGGATGCCAGACACAACCTCAGAGATAAAGGTGTGGACATTCTTTTTATTGGTATCTGTTCATTGGTCTCTCACTGTCTGCAAATCTCCATTATGGTGACTAGAGGGGATGTCTGAGCGAGTAGACACCCCAACCCCCACCCCCAGAGGGTTCTACTACAATGTGCACAGATCTCCTCAAAATTTAAAGTGACCATTTCGACTTAAAACCAAAAGGCAGGGCAAAACGACCACAGCTGGCCCTGAACTGTTTATCACTAGGAAAAAAGGCCTGAATGGGGATTGTGAAGTAGGGCAGGCAGACTAAAAAGGAAATAGACCAAAAATTAAATCCTGAGTTACATCAAAATGACCAATAGTGGCATCTTGAAATTTCTCAGGAAGAAAAGTGAAAAGGGAAGCCCATCTCCTGATCACATCTACCTAGAGGCAATCAGAAAGCATAGAAAATATCAAAATACACACCCATCTGAGTATTAAGGCCACAGATAACTCTTGAATATGCCCAAAAAACAGAAGATGACCATATCAGCACCTGTCCAGAAAGGAGATAAAGTGACTGAGGTAAATGAGCTGGAAGTAGACCTACACTCCATGTTGGAAAATGGGCAGGCTTTGGAAATGCCTGAGAAGGAATTCAGAAAAATGATTATAAAATGTATCAAAACACTATACAATTGAGTTGAGAAAAATAAAGAAGTCAGGAAAGTGCTACAAGAACAATCAAATAAGATAGATAGAGCGTTGGAAACAATTCAAAACCTACAGAAAGAGGTCCAAATGATTAATAATAGAATATCAGAAATGGACAATACACTGAAAGGGCAAAAGAGTAGAACTGCAAAGATAGAAGCCAGAACTAGTGACTAGAAGATAAATCTCTCACCACTACTAAGATATAGAAGAGTAAGCACAAAAAAGGATTAAAAAAATCTGAAGAAGGCCTAAGATTCATGTTGGACAACATGAAGAAGAATAACTTAAGAATTATCGGCATTCCGGAATAGGAAGAATCACATAACTCCACAGAGGAGGCAGTTGAGGAACTGCTGGAAGAAAATTTCCTTAACATCCTGAAAAGTAAAAAACTAAGCATTCAAGAAGCTCAACGAACACCAGGAAGGACAGACCCAGAAGACAATCACCAAGACATATAATAATCAAGCTCGCCAAAATAAAAGATAAGGATAGAATCCTAAAAGCAGCTAGGGAAAAGAGAAGTGTAACATACAAAGGGGCAAGCAAATCAGATTAAGCTCTGATCTCTCAACAGAAACCATGCAGGCAAGAAGGCAATGGACAGACATATACAAAATCCTGAAAGAAAAAAAAACTGCCAACCAAGAATCCTCTACCCAGCAAAGCTATCAATCAAATACGAGGGTGTAATCAAAACATACCAGGATAAACAGAAGCTAAGAAATTTTGCCAAAGCCAACACTACTATGAGAAACATCCTAAAGGAAGTTCTGTGGACTGAGAACCATCAAGAACAGACAACAACTACAGAATGACGTACGTGGCAGCATCACCCTGAACTCAATCAACAAATGGAAGCGTCAAGAACAGAATAAAAATATAAGAACAGAGGATCTGGGAGGTCAGTCTATGATCAAAACAATTACAATGTGAAAGAAGGTAAACACAGAGGAACAGAGATCTAGGTGGTGAGAAGGTCAGGTAGATTACAGGATAAAATAGACTGTCTTAAATGGAGGAAAGAATTAATGGAATAAAAGGTAACCACAACAGTGGGGGTGGGATGGGGGGGTCTAGTTTGGGTATTGGGGAGGGCAAAACAAGAAGGGTGAGAAGGTAGAAGAACAAGATAGACAGGGGACACTGAGACAGGTTTGCATTGCCTAAGTGGGACAGAGGTTAATAGTGATGCATGCTCAACATTGGAACAACAGGGCTCTGTGATACAGGGATCTAGGCATAGTCTGAAGAGGGGAAATGCTTGACTGTCTTATGAATATTGGTTCCCCTTGCCTACTATTGTAAAATTGACACTTGAGTGGGACAGAAAAGAATGTTGGGAAACATGATTACAAAAAACTTGTAAGCCCGTCTTCAGCCTATAACTGATTGGAATACCTAAAAGGGGTTCTAGAACTTGTCCAGTGAAAAAGGCATCTTGCAAAGCCTTTGCAGAGTATAGGGCCTTAGGTGGAATCCTGAGTCCCATCCAGAACCTTCTGAGGTGGGACATTCCCACTAGCAAGGACAAGCAGACCAGCCTGGAACAACTAGAGCAACAGAAGATACATCTTCAAAGAAAGGTCATCAGGAAAAACCCAAAACAAAAGTATCAGCATGCTGGGAAGCCATTAAGACAAGCAATCAAGTTCCTTCAGGACAAACTCCCCTCTAAGACTGAAATTCAAAGGGAACACATGAACAGGCATGTAAGCTTGCTGATGACCACATTGGTCTACTGGTGAGTGGAAGAGGGGGAAAGGCAGCAATGAAAAAATGGGCTGAGTTCAACCGCAGTCCATTGACTCCTGTTGACCTGGAGATGAGAGAAAGAAAAGTAAGGGCTGTCTGGTCCAAACTATGGTGAGACCTGGGTACACTTGAGCCCATGGACAAGGACATAGCCACAGTGGGCTAGAGCTGAGAGTGAAGCATCCAGCTGATATGAAGTGAGGGGAGAGGCACAAGAACACCCCAACTTGCAGACAGTACCCATTTGACCTAGCCTTGATGGCTTGGTAATCAGAACTGACTAGAGGTACATTACAAACAAACAAACAAAATTTTTTTGGATAAAGGAAACAAGGGTAAATGGGTACAATTTGATGATCCTGACCTATACTCATGGAGATAATAACTCTAAATATCAACAGTGAAGGAAGGAGTCTTCATATCAAGTATCAATGCTATCATCTCCTCTGTACACAGAGTAGACAGGGACAGGCAACTTAGACATTGCTACCTAAAATGAGGGGGCGATAAAGGCACGAAGTGACTGGATTAAAAGATTTCAAGAGGGAGTTTAGTTTAAGAGTGTGTGGTGGGGAGAGAATGAGTCCCCAATGAATAGTTTTCATCTTGTCTAGATGGGTCTGGTGAAAAGAGATGGGGATAAGATTCATATGATTCAATAGTGAATAATTGCTATCATGACTAATTGCAACTGTCACAATCGTAAAGGTAGAAGTTTTTAACAATAACAGGGGAGTGGTTAATCTTACTGTCCAGAAACAGAGGACCCTAGGACCATCAAGCGTGAAGAGCACAAGCAGAATGCGGGACCTTATCCAAAGAAGCAGCGACGCCAGATATGGAGGCAGAGATGGGGACATGGAGAGGGGGAGCAGCTAAGGACTCTAGATTCATCAGCAGAGAAGG